AACTGGTACAAGATGTCATATCTGGTGACATTTGTCTCACACCGTGCACGTTGTGCACACCTTAATTGATGGTGCAATACAGCAGAGGGAACATGACCGTGTGTGACAGAAGAGAATTGATCACTACTTTTAGAGACGTCTCCGTTGCGTCTAGCACGTAGGGTTATCTGTCGAGCAACACTCCTTGCTTCTGTATCGCTAAATAACGGGGTATTTTTAGTATATTTTGGATAAGATGTATTTACTTACTGTGTTGAATCTGATAGTGGACAGAGACGTTAAGTGAAAGCTGGGGTGACATGTGTGACTTTTGTAACCACTTTTCGACCTTTGAACTTAATTAACTGTTTCAAATGTCACCGGGGCCAAATGTATGACACAGGATCGCAGTAGCCAAAATATGTTATTAGGAAATGAAATACCTGATGTTATGTAAACTGCGTTGCATAAAACGATTACCAGATCCCCCGAGTCTTGGTTATTTGGACAGTGAATCAAGAAGTCTAGGGAGAGATTTACCGAATACCCACTGCACCGGGTACCGTGATGATGTGACAAAATAACAGCTGTGAAACGGACCTCTCTGAAACATAATCGTAATCTAGTGATACATTGTATTAGGTCCATGCAATTAAATCGGATTGGTAAACGTTATGAGAAATTCATAAATAGCTCAAGTTGTTGGATTCCCATCTATGGTCGGAGTAAAAACGACGTGTTTAGAAGACTGCATTTTGATCGACTGACTGGATTGGGGTGTCCATTCTAGCTCCCCCATACCCACATACACACATATACACACTTAAGGGGCTCTTTTATTGTTTTACAGAGAATACTTCTTGATATTATTACAGATACGAGATCATAAAACTCACGAACCCATGGCCGACTTGTCATGAACCTTTTTTTTTTTTTTAACAGGAATGTTTTACAAGTTTAGTTTTAAAAGTCAAATTACATGAATAACATTAAGAATCAAATGTTTGCAATTTAGCTGTCTGGACTGTTTTAGAGATATATCAAAATTACAGATAGTTGTCATTTCTTAGACCCCATTCCAAATGTCAGCTCTATTAAAACGACAACAACCGGGAAAAATATCTAAGATATTTGGGTCGAAAAATATTTAAATTGCCATAGATGAAGACTTCTCAATTGTATTCACTTATACAGTACGACCAAATATATTTTTACATCAAGTTTGTATTTATAAAGTTAAGAAACAAATATATTTTCATGATACAGTTATTAACACATTTCTGTCATTGGCTGTCGGAAACGGACATTATGCAACTTTTTTTGTAAATAACCTTATTACGCACAGTTTTAGAGATACTGTATGATGTAATGTTGAAATTTACCAATTATTTTTAAAAATATGTGTTTAGATATTTAAAAGCGAGAATGTAGGGAGTGATTCTTTAATGTAGTAGTTCAATGTAGCAGCACTCATTTCATTGAATTATTTACAATTACTATTGTATTTGTTTAAAGTTTTTTGTCTAAGTGATTTTTTTCAGTGGTGCAAATGAAGAACGCAATTGTGCTTTTACATACAAATCTCGGAGCGTGCAGCGAATAAAATACTTAAAAGGCATACTGTACCCTACTTAAAACTGTCACTTAAATAAGAGATGCACACAGCTGTATTTGCACATTAAAATCTAGGGTCATAAATTTAAGTCTTTAGAAAGCATATTTATCTTTTATCTTGCCCCACTTTTAACCTTGGCTTTACCCTTGGGTCCTTCCCGTCCCCTTGGGAGCACGTGTTTTTTAGTTTAAAAAACACAGGTCTGGGCTTAGTCAAATTTATTTTCTCGGTCTCAGAATCACGTCAAGACACGAGGTTATCTTATCTGGATCAGAGTAAAAAAAAACATCGGTATATGTCTGTCCACATCTTTCTGCCTTCTTGAAGACAGAAAATAGTCATGCCGGACAATTGGGCTATCTTGAAGCTCTTTTTGCTTGTCTTTGTTGTTCAAGACGCACGAACCCAAGGTAAGTGACGCCTTTTTCATTTTTTTTAAAATTATCTATCACTTTTTCTAAACCATTTTCATTTATTTCATTCACTGTTTTCCTACCCAATGTATCTGCGCGTTAGTTATTTGAAAAAAATACACAGCAGGATGTAATTATTTTATATGTGATTCGTTTTAAAGTAAGAAAAAAGTTTCTAGTGCCACACACCCGCGGTAGGGTGAAGGCCTTACTCAGCAAGCAATACCTTGGTGTTCTGTTTGACTGCAAATAATCTTTAAGTGGAGTGGAAGTCATAATAGACGCACTTATATGATTTCTGTTTACCAGTAGATAGAATATCCCAATCGTGGCGATAGCAGTCCCTTTTAAAATTAATATCAGAACGCTAAAATTAGCCGTTCTTTCCGTTAATCCTTGGCATAACGCTACCCTAAGGAACTATATTCGGCCCTGCTAAGAAGACCCCCTTTCCTTCTACAATATTTCCCAGCATACGAAGAAGAAAAGCACGGATTATATTAATTACGTTAAACAGATTCACTCATGTAGGCATTTGATTAATGTCTCTTATCAAATTTCGCGATTGATATGAACATTTCATTAGGATGCCAAGCACGAGCGCCATTCCACAATGTCCCTGTAGTATTTAATCAACCCAGTGTCATCTTTGTGTGTGCCCAGATAAGATTAAGGGTAAAATTGCTGAACAACACCCCCCCCCCCTTTCACATACACACAAATACACACAACGCCACTTCCGCCGCCACTGCCGAGAGTAACCTTCATTATTTGGCGGATTTTTGGTAAAACAACTGATTTTCCTTAAGTTACAAATATGATCGATCTGTCTACAAACATGAAGTGTGATTTCTATAATTTGCACAGTTGATACAGGTAGCTGTCTCTTAAAGTTAAACAGATACATACACCGCTGGAAATATTGCAGATATATATTGCAGATATCGAATTGGACTTACCTATTTACAAAAGTTGATTTTTTATATATTTGTCATTGTTGTAACGAATTTTAATGCTTTTTTTACCACGTATACTATTCTAGCATGTGAATTAATTAGGTGGTTGCAAATGGCTAGGGCTGGATTTCAAGGCTTGGTCCAGATTGCTCCTCCAAATTATGTTTAATCTTTTCCTTTCTCAGTTTCAGTCTTCTTTTTGAAAAAGATGGTAGATAATTTCTTAAGTTGGGTGTAAATTGTGCCAAAACTGTCAGGTTATAATTGTTCACAGTTCACCTAATAGTAAACTTTTGGTTTTACGTTAGTAGATTCACGTATGGATAACTGATGTTTTTTTTTAATACATGAAATATAAGAGACAACTAGTCATTAAGTTCAAATGTACTACAGTTTTTCACTGTCATGTTATTTTTCATATGTACACATGCCCTACTTCTAAATTAGCACCTCCTCTCTTCTGACAAAAAAAAAACTATAATACTGAATTCCCATGTATTGTTAATCCAGATTCCTGGCAGACGTACAAAGACAAACAGTTTTTGATCGTAAAAGATCGAAAACCATGGCAGAGCGCATTACAACACTGCAGTAAAGCAGGCGGCGATCTCGCCATTGTTGAGAACCAAGGCGAGAACGATTTCATCGTGTCCATCAGAAACAAGGACGTCAGCAATCTTTGGATAGGGATCAGCGACATTAGGGCCGAGGGGACTTGGATCACAGTCAAAGGTGACCCAGTTGCTTTCACAGGTAAGCTACTTTGATAGATATTGCGTAATAGTATAGAGAACATTAATTTCGTCTTTAACCTTTCCTTGGTTTCTTCGTATGTCAACGATTGCTGTAGCTTATGCGATGCCCTGTTATACAAAAGCATTTGCTGACGGAAATAAAAAGGATTTGGTATAGGGACATTTATCGCTGAATGTACAACAGTCTACTAGTATAATGAATTTCCCCTTTGTGCTACAAAAACTTCATTGTCAAACTTCATTGCCATCAAAATTCAATGCCAGTACACTCTTTTTCATTTTACTTCTTTCTACTTCAGGTTGGAGTGCCCCTGAACCAAATGACCTAAACAACAACGAGGACTGCGCAGAGATCCTTCAAGGTGGAAGCTGGAATGACAGGGATTGTAGCTCGGCGCAATCGTTCGTTTGCGAGAGAAAACGCAAACTTCAAGGTCTGGTTTCTCTTTCTTGACCTCAATTCAACATTCAGTTTTTGTCAATTCTTAATCTGAAGTGTGTGTACGATGAGCACTGGCATTTCATCAAAACTCTTAGTTTACCGGGCTTTAAAATCAAGGCTTTGGTTACATTTTAAGCCAACGTCAAATTCATACATCAGTATTGGTGAAATTTAGATGTTTGGGCATTTCCTTTTACATGTATTAGATATTCGTGAGGGTGGGTCAAAATCAGTTCTTCAGGCATCCGCAAACCCGGTGGAACAGAGATTTTTAAAAATTGCTTTACAAACAATTAACATGTGACATTGATACAAAATCCAATAAAATTATACCACTTAATAATACTTTGCTATTTCTTTTCAATTTTCTATCACTTTATATTTCTCTTTTTATGTAAAGAAAGGCAAACATTTTTATTTGATGGTGTATCAGTCGTACTGAACGTGTAATTTTTAAAAGTCAAATTATATATATAATATTAAATATCATATTTTTGCTATTTATATGTCTAACCCGTTTGAGAGATATGTCAGAATTACACATGGCTGAGTTTTTCCTATACCCAATTCCAACTGTGAGCTCTACAAAGTAACTGAAAAGTTGTGGAAGAAAAATATTTCAAATTGCAAAGAATACAGACCGACATACGTCACGTGCTTTCCTAAAAAATCTCAAAAGGATACTGTCCCTCACTTAAAACTCTCACTTAAACCACAGTGTACACAGCTGCTGTATTTGTATATGCAAAGCTAGGACCGTGAATTTAACTTTCTAGAAAGCACATCTATCTTTTATCTTGCCCTACTTTTAGCCTTGACTTTACCCTTGGGTCACTCCCGTCCCCGGGGGAGCACGCGTTTTCCTTTTTAAAAGCGCAGATCTGGGCCTATATTTATTTGCAGATTTGTTTGCTTGGTCTCAGAATCGCGTCGCGACACGAGCTCATCTTATCTCGTTTAGGGTAAAGAAACCATCGGTATATATGTGTCGATATCTTTTCTGCTTTCTTGAAGACTGAAAATAGTCATGCCGGACAATCGGGCTATTTTGACGCTCTTTTCGCTTGTCTTGGTTGTCCAAGTTTCGCTAGCCCAAGGTAAGTGATGACTTTTTCATTTCATATTTTCTAAATTGTCAGTTTCATTTATTTCATTCATTGTTTTCATACTTAGGAATTTAATTACGCTCAGCATTTTTCACTCACTTTTGTACTGAAGTCAGATAGATATCTGCGCGTTAGTTATTTTAAAAGGTTACTTAAAGGGATAATAACTCTTCGTTTTGGCCAAAAAATGGATTTTCCTGGAGTAAACAACAATTTTCCCATACTTACCAATGGTTAATGAATCCATTTTTACATTCAAAGTTAGTCCCTGTTTTTTTTTTTTTTTTTTTTTTTTTTTTTTTTTTTTTTTCTAAAAAGTTTGGTTTTTTGTTAAAATCTCTCAATGGAGGTCAGATATCAGAATAATAGCTATAACTGCCGTTTTTGTGGTAAATCAGAATATATTATATTTCTGTGAGTTGTTCACAATATTTTTATTGTGAAATATAGATATCGTACGAAGAGTTATTATCCTTTTAACTGGGTGTAATAACGATTTTATGCGCGTTTTGTTGTAAAGGAAAACAGTTTCTAGTGCAACACACCCGCAGTAGGGTGAAAGCCGTATTCAGCAGCAAATACTTCGGTGTTATGTTTGACCGCAAATAATCTTTCAGAAGAGAGGAAAGTCACTTATGATTACTGTTTACTAACAGATAGAATATCTAAACATCCCAATCGTGGCGATAGCAGTCCCTTTAAATTGATATCAGAACGCTAAAATTAGCAGCTCTCTGCGTTAACTCTTGGCATGGCGCTACTCAAAGGAACAATTTTGGGCCGTACTTAACTGAACCCCCTTTCCTTCTAGTATTTCCCAGCGAACGAAGAAGACATGAACTGATTAAATAAATTACGTTCATCAGATTCACTCATATAGACTTTTGATTAATGTCCCTGATCAAATACGCGATTGATATGAACATTTCATTAAGACGCCAAAAACGCGCCCTTCCACGATGGTCTTGTTGTATTCAATAAAATTCCGTGTCATCTTTGTGTGTGTCCAGATAAGATAAGGGTGAAACTGCCAATCACCTCCCCCCCCCCCCCCGCCATCCTCTCTCACACACACAAACATGCATACACGACACCTCCCCCACCACCCCCAAGAGTAAACTTTATTATTTAGTTTTTTTTTTTGTAAAACAGCTGATTTTCGTCAAGCTACATGCATGATTGATCTGTCTACATTAGCTGTGATGTTCATAATTTGAACAATTGACAGTTGTCTTAAAATTATAGTTAAACAGATACATGTACATACACCGCTAGCAATACTTCGGATATAAATTGTAGACATACACTTAGAAGACTATTTGGACTCAACTATTTACCAAATGGATATTCATGTAATTGCTGTAGCGGGTTAACATAGAAGTATTTTTCCACGTACACTTTTCTATAATTAAGTGATTGCACAAGAAAAGGGATTTCAAGGCTAGGCCGCAATATCTTCCCAAAATTAAGTTTCGTCTTTTTCGTTCTCAGTTTAACTCTCCCTTTTGATAATAAAGATGACAGGTATTTTCTGAGGTTGACTGTAAATTGTGGCAAAACTGTCAGGTTATAATGGTTCACAGTCCACACAATAGTAATATCGCGATTTTATGTTCCCATGGCCACTTTTAGTTTTTTTCAATCCACAAACAGGCATAAAGTTCAAGTTATAGTTTTCTACTGTCATATTGTTCAGTACAATGCACACATTGAATTACTTTTAAATCCTCCCCTCTTCTAACAAAAAAAAAATACAATGCTAAATTCCAATGTATTGGTTATCCAGATTCCTGGCGGACGTACAAAGACAGACAGTTTTTAATCGTAAAAGATCCAAAAGCATGGCGGAGCGCATTACAACATTGTCGGAAAGCAGGCGGCGATCTCGCCATTGTTGAGAACCAAGACGAGAACGACTTCATCGTGGCCATCAGAAACAAGGACGTCAGCAATCTTTGGATCGGGATCAACGACATAAGGGCTGAGGGGACTTGGATGACAGTCAAAGGCGACCCAGTTGCTTTTACAGGTAGGCCACTTTGATAAAGAGTGTGTCCTAATATAGAAAACATTCATTTCGTCTTTAATAATCCCCTGGTTTCTTCGAATATCAACGATTGCTGTAGCTTATACGATTGCCAGTTATTCAACGGAAATTGCTGACGGAAATGAAAGGGCTTTGATATGGAACATTTATGCTCCCGTTTGTGCTGTAAAACATCATTGCCACGTTTCATTGCCATAGAAGTTCAATATTAGTACATTCTTTTTTATTTTTTTTTTATTTCTACTTCAGGTTGGGGTGGCTCTGAACCTAATGACCTAGGCAACAACGAAGACTGCGCAGAAATCCAACAAAGTGGGAGCTGGAGTGACAGGGATTGTAGCTCGGCGCAATCGTTCGTGTGCGAGAGAAAACGTAAGTTCATTCGCAAACTTAAAGGTCTGGTTTCACTTTCTTGATTTTAATCTAACATTTCGTTTTTGTTATATCTTATTCTTTTGTGACATTAAGTATCATGAGAACCGGTGTGACATGAAATGCTGACCCCAATGAAAATCTGACTCTTTAAGGGGAGTCAGATTTGCATGGTACACCGGCTTTTCATCACAGCTAAAGCTCTAGCTTATTTCATATTCGTGAGGGTTGGGCAAACAATTCACATGTGACAGTAATACGAAATCCATTTAGATTATACCACTTAATACTACTTCGCTATTTCTTTTTGATGTTTTTTTTATCATTTTATATTTCTCTTTTTATGTAACGCATGACAAAAATTTGATGGTGTATCAGCCAAACTAATAATACTGCATTTTCTCTTATTTCCAGTACAATGGACGATCAACAAGAACAGCCAGTACCTCTACGTCGACGAAGCAGTCACGTGGTCGGAAGCAGACAAACACTGTGCGTCTGTGGGTGCAAGCTTGGTGGTTATTGAAAACCAATCGGAAAATGACTACCTGCTAGCCCAGAAGTACCCAGGCGCTCAGTTCTGGATAGGTGCCAAAGACACGTCCAAGGAGGGGACTTTTACGACACCTGCCGGAAAGAAGTTGCCTTTTACACGTGAGATATTTGACTGGTGTTCAAACAAGGATCTACTATAGATCGAAAATAGATCTAACTGGCGTCTCTGAAATAGCAAATTACATAACATAGCCTTTTTGCAATATGACTGTGTTTTTATGAGATCATCAAGTGACTGCAGTTAGATCTCTTAGCGGTCTAAAGTACCCTGGTGTAAACAAGACGTTGCTTTTTTCTATGTAGTGTACAAATAATGGTACTAGTATGCAGTATAGTACATGTAAGTAGATTTCATGTGCATACATCTATTATTCTGCGGGTTTGCTCCTCATCCGATTTAAGTACCATTCCGTTTGGAATTTTAAAAGAGTGGCTTTGTTTATGTTTTTCCTGTGTATTTAAAGACATATACGGAGTAAATTGAAGGGATATTTCTAAAGTGGATTCCAGGAGAAATCTGCCTTTATCCTCACGACTTCAATATTTTCTTAACTTTTAAAAATTTTAAAGTTATTAGAACATGAAAAAATAGTGTGTTTACGAAAAGAAAGCGGATTTCTACTCTAGAAAATAGTGCAAACGTGAAAATCGGTCACAACATTATGAGTCAAGGAATATTAATAAACACTTATTTTAGCAGCAAGATTTGGAATAATATTTAATATTAATATTTAGTTAATATGAATGTGCCTATTGAACCTATAGGATGCAATCACCGTCCTTAAGCTAGAAATTCAGTTGCTGCTATCCCTTTTGTAGGCTGGATACCAGGCCAGCCCGATAACGCGGCAAACAACGAAGACTGTGGAGAGTTTTTCGCCAGTGTTGGGACCTATGATGGTTTGTGGAACGATATGAACTGTCTGGCAAAACGGCCTTATGTATGCGAGAGATACTGTAAGTCTAATCTGCCTCAAAATATAGTATTCAAAATGTCAGTTGAGTTTAATTTTAAATGTTCAATTGATATATAAAATTTAAATGTCTGTTACGGATTTAACATTTCCTTATATATTTACTATAGTCTACAAAGGGTAAATATTCCTTCCGCAATTCATTTTTAAAATGTACATGTATATGTAAAGGGTAGAGGGATTTAAAGATGTGAGCTACATTTTGCAGGGGCGGATCCAGGATATTTTCTGAGAGTCTTCCATATTATATTTGTTGATCCATCCGTCATTCTTTGACCGTCTTCCGACAGAAAAAAATTAGATACCTTTCATTGTAAACTTGAAAATCTGACCGTCTTCCGGAAGACCCAGAAAACGGCCTAAATCCGCCCCTGTTTTGCAGTGAAGCAAGTGCTGATGTATTGAAAGTCATCTGCATACATGAACTAGTAATATGTCAAAATACACGAGCTATAGAACATTCGTATCATACCAAACAGCGGAACAAATAATTTAATGATGTGAAAAGATCAATGATGTTTATTTTGATCTAAGAACTACGCCTTCTTGTGTATGTCACTGAAAGGATCACTAAAAAAGGCACGGTAGGCACCTCGCGCCCCCTGACGGAGGTTCCCCTTCTCTCACCCCCGAAAAAGTGTAACAATTAAGCGAAACGAGAAACAAATTGATATTTTAAAATCTGACTTTGTATAATCACAGTTGTTTTGATCAACCATGTTGTATTCCAGATTGCCCAACGACATCCGCTGACATCGCCTTTGTATTGGACTCTTCAACAAGTGTCGGTGAAAGCAATTTTAACAAAATGAAAGACTTTGTCCGGAATTTCGTCAGTTCGTACGTCATCAGCAACCAAGATGTTCAGATAAGCTTGCTTCAGTACAGCGACAAACCCGCCATCGACTTCCATTTCAGCAACGTATCAACTAAAGCAGAAGTTCTTCAAGCCATAGATAAAGTTCAGTATCGTCCTGGGGGTACCAATACCGGTGGCGCCATCAGAGATATGTGGCAGAATCTATTCAGCGACAAGAATGGCGCACGCCCTGGCGTCACCAAGATTGGTATCGTTGTGACTGATGGAGAATCCCAGAACCCGTCGCTCACCACAAAAGAAGCTCAGAATGCCAGAGATCGGGGTATCAACATGTTTGCAGTTGGTGTTGGACCAAATGTTAAGGTACTTCATGGTTATCTTTTTATTCGTTATTTTAAGCAATGTGCGAGTATCATAGACTAAACAGAAAATCATTACGTGTATTGAACATAAATACCAATTATATTGACGTCGATCAGAAAAGGAAATTAAGATAATATAACTTTCAAAAAATGAATAGTTGTTAAAAACAGATAAATAAAAATAAATATTACGAAGTAATATTGAATCAGTATTGAATCAGTAAAGCAGAATTGCAAGAGAATAACAATAAAAGATATCTGTTTCCAGACAACGGAATTAAACAGTATAGCGTCTGACCCTGATAACCGACATGTGTTCACAGTATCGAGTTTTGCCGCCTTTGCCTCCATACAGGCAGACATTGCACGACTTTCTTGCACAGGTACACGTGTTCTGTTGTTTACATTAAATGCCGACAAGTATGATTTCTGTCGGGTTTGGTTCACGTTTCAGATGGCCTTTCACAAATCTTATACTGAATACATATCTAGTTTTAAATTACGAAGATTGCCACACATCATTTTAGTATAAATATTATTTATTTTTATGTAGTATAATATTTAAGCTGAAAAATACAATCAAGGTTATATATATTTTTGTATTGGAGCATATCATGTTTTACACGTAAACGAATGAATTGTTTCACGGTATATTAAGCGTACATTTCAGAAATCATTTCAGATATAATAAAGTAAACACTGCTCTTTTTTTAGCCCAGCCGTTGGCACCTAAACCCTCAGCCGTTTTGCAAAAAGGTATAATATTCTAAGCTAATTTCTCCTTGCATACGCCAAAACAGCTAATAAAATTCCGAGCTATAAACGCGTTTTTGAGCTTCAGGCTTCCCTTTTTACTGTCGGAAGTGATATTCTTCATTCTCCAGAAACTATTTTGTTAGATCGTAATTTTGTCAGCTGTTTCAAATGTGGCACACCTTGGTGTTCGGGGGAGAGTGCTAAAAATTCCAGGAATATTGAACGTTTGCCATTTATATAAATGTGTCAATGCATCATAACGCATTGTGTCGCTGAAATGATTACGCATTCAATTACAACAGTATGGAGGAGTGGCAAACACGTTGGTTCAGTTTTGATTTGGGACTCAATACCTCAAAAAAGAGGCATTTTGTGTACCTATACAATCTTCCTTTTTCAATTTTACAGCAGTAACAAGGCGTTACTTGAAGCAAATTTTGAAGCAATTTTCCCGCCATTTCAGGTTGCACGCAAGCTGACATAGTTTTCATAGTGGACGGTTCGGGCAGCGTCAGCCAGCTAAATTTCCGCAAGCAGATGGACTTCATCAAAGACGTAGTCAGAGATTTCGACGTGGATGGAGGAAAAGTTCGTATTAGTGTAATTGAGTTCAGCACCAAGGCAAATATAGCCTTCAACCTGAGCAGCTACAACACAGAAGCCCAGGTACTACAGGCCATAGATCGGATCCAGCCAAGCCAGGGAGGAACGAGCACCGACATTGCTTTGAAACTGATGAGGACCGTCAGTTTTACTCCGGGGAATGGGGACAGGCCAGGAGTACCCAACATTGCCGTTCTGCTCACCGATGGTCAGCCCCAGAGCGTCCAGGGAACGGTTGCCGAGGCAACCTATGCTAAACAGGCGGGCATCAACGTAATGACCATAGGGGTGGGCACGGCTATTGATATGCGGTTCCTGGAACAAGTGGCTAGTCCTCCAAAAAAGACAAACGCGTTCAATGTGTATGATTTTGACACGTTTTACTGGATCAAACAGCAGTTGTTGCAAAATACATGTCCAGGTATACTTCCGGGCCTTACATTTTGATTTGTTCTTTTTTCTAACGTCAGCGGTAAATACGTTTTGCCATTCAAGCGCGCGTCTTTTTTTTTTTCTTTATTGCGGATGTTCACACGGCAGTTTGCGTGACGTGTACACGTTTATTTTTTATGTCGCGACGACGAAGATTCGTTCCTCTTCTAAAGAATTTAGGTTTTAGGTCGTTTTTTCATAATAATTGAATGCGTTTTTTTTCCAGGCAAGTTAAATTGAGAGGTGTATAGAACGTGTGTGACTGATTGTGTGATGTTTATATGCAGAACGTGATTCCCTTTCAGGTCTTTCTCGTATATTCCTGTTAAGCATTATATCATGTTTAGTGGCGTCCATTTGATTTAAACAAAGCAATCTCATTGATTATCGGAGAGTTTTTCTATACACATTACCTACAACTTGTTTCAATTCTTGCTTTTGCTTGCTCCACTCAAAGCTGATCTCACTTAGCATCCCCCAAATCCGCTCAAAGGTTAACTAAATGACGTCTTCCTTATGTGTTTATGCATATAGTTGACGGACAGTGGACTGCCTATGGCGCCTGGACAGCTTGCAGCGCCACCTGTGGAGGCGGCACACAGTACAGCGAGAGGACTTGCACCAACCCAGCACCTGCCAATGGCGGAAAGCCGTGCGTAGGGGCTGCCAGAAGAACCCGAACGTGCAACACGGCCGCTTGCCCTAATGGTGAGGAATTGGTCTGCAAGTCGGGATTTAATCTAGATGGCTCGATGCTACTAAATAAGTGTGTGTGTGTGTGTGTGTGAGAGAGAGAGAGAGAGAGAGAGAGAAAGAGAGAGAGAGAGAGATTTGTATTTTGCCCTGTTATCCCCAAAATAAATGAAATAATTAACGTTGTGAATTCATGCAGTTTCATATTTATATTATATTATATTCCATTTCATGGAGAGGAGATTCGTTGCTGAATTATTTTTTTCTTAAAGGTGTTGCGCATTTCATGATGGTTTTATTGTTATCAATTACGATGTTTTTGTGTCTGTAAAATAGTTATGATAATACATGCATAACAAACAAAATACAAAGCAAAACTTTGACTCCATCTGTTGACGTGAACTCCTCTGCTCTTTCGTAACAGTATGCCAAGCTAAAGCCGACATCACCTTCATCCTTGACGGCTCCGCCAGCATTCAGCCAGCGGACTTTACGAAGCAGCTGGACTTCGTCAAATCCATGGTCAGAAAGTTCAGCATCGGTCCAAACGCCGTCCAGATCGGCGTCGTTCAGTTCGCTAGCGATGCCACCCAGGAGTTCGATCTCAACACTCACAGCACCGAGGCGGCTATGCTGGCAGCCATTGGCAATATCAAGCAGAAGAAGGGCGGTACCCAGACCCACCTCGGTCTCGAGCATGCGCGCACAAGCAGTTTCACCGTTGCCAAGGGTGACAGGGCTAATGTACCCAACATAGCCATAGTTATGACGGACGGAGTCTCTGTTGACGGCGCGAAAACCGCCACAGAAGCCGGCAATCTTCAAAATGTGGCCACCGTGTATGGACTGGGAATAGGGCGCGGTGTCAAGGAAGCGGAGTTGCAGGCCATTGCTACCAATCCAGACAGCAAGTTTGCCATCACCGTGGCTGATTTCAGCGCTCTCAGCAATATAGAGACCCAGCTTGCTACAGATGCTTGTGCGCGTAAGACACCAGACAGAATTTAAATTGCCTTCATAAAGTCCCTTTTTTCTGTCATTTATTTTTATGTCTTTTATTATTGAATACATTTTGTAGTTTCTGTTTGGTTCAGGGCGAGATTTCTGCCATAAAAATATAAGAATGGATCGTTTTCTTATCTGCGTTATTTTTTCAACAACAATTTCAATTCGCAGACTATAATGTCGTAATTAATCAATTTTTTTTATTTGCAGAGGCTACTGCGGCACCAGTAGGTACGTTGACAGGGCGTGTGTAATAATTATGTTGTTTCTCCAAACCCTACTGATTTTAGATAATACATATATTTGAAATCTATATACGCAGTACAAATGTTTTCAAAAGAAAGTAAACCATTGAACTTTTCAGTGTTTATTTACCGAACAGGTCCTCAAGTTTATCAGATGCATAATCACTGAAATCGTGTCTTTTATCAAATCATATTTTATCAATTTGCAGTCAGTTTACCTTCATATGGCGTGGAATATTTAATTTTTATTTGCTTTTCTTTTATTAGTGATAACCACCACCCCTGCACCAAGTAAGTATGACCTCCTCCTTCTCTCTCTCTCTCTCTCTCTCTCTCTCTCTCTCTCTCAAATTCCCTTTCTTATATCAAAACACAGACCTATCAATCTTAGTTCTTTCTGTTATTCCGATCTCTCAATTCAAACTTTGAATAATTTCACCGGAGCTGTTGTCATTTATCTCTCCTTAATTTTTTATGCAATTTATTATTAAATTGTAAAAAAAAATCTAACGGACAAGTTTGAACCACAAGTTACAGTTTTAACGAAGTGCTTAAAATTATTTTACGTGACATTATACCACTGGCAGGCTATGTCCATTTTATGGCGGAAACCCCGCCTCCAAACAACTAAAGTGACGTATAATTTTCTTTAGTTATTTTCGCTTCATGTATTTAATTATTTCTTTTGATCATTGAAAGATAAACACGTTGTAATATTTACAGTTTGCAAGGGCCAGGCAGACATAACGTTCATCTTGGACGGATCTGGCAGCGTCAAACCACCCGACTTCGCCAAACAACTGCAATTCATCAAATCTTTGGTGAAGAAATTCGGCGTCGGACCAAACGCAGTACAGGTCGGCGTCCTGCAGTTCTCTAATAACGCGGTGCAGGAGTTCAACCTCAACTCTCACAGCACCGAAGCGGCCATTTTAGCCGCAGTGGACAAAATCAAGCAGAAGACCGGCGGAACCAACACAGCTCTGGCCCTCTCCACCGCCCGCACCAGCAGTTTCACGGCTGCTAAAGGCGATCGGCCGAACGTCCCGAACATCGCTATCGTAATGACCGACGGCGTGTCCGGCAACAAGGGGGCGACCACCACAGAGGCGAACAAGCTGCGTAATGTCGCATCCGTGTACGCTATCGGCATCGGCAGTAATGTCAACACTGACGAGCTGAAGGCCATGGCTAACGACCCGGATAGCAAATATGTCTTGACTGTTTCAGACTTCAGTGCGCTGTCTAAAATAGAGACGCAGTTGGCTACGGACGCTTGTGCACGTGAGTCGCTCATAATTTTTGCAGTTTAATACGATATCTCGTCACTTGTACTTTTGTTAACGAGTTTAAACCAATGGTAATGTGTTGGTAACAAAGTCATCAAATTAAATGTTACTTTTAATGATCTTTAAGACCATTCCTTTCTTTTCCTATCAAATGAGATAAGTTAACAATGTATCTTCATCAAATATAGAATTGATAAAGAAACTGCAAAATGTTTGTCTTTATCATTATTTGTGAGCACCTTTGTTTAATTTTATTTTATAGGCAATTGATACAATTTACCACTGTAGATAGTAACATGTATGTTTTGATACTTTTTCAGAACCAGTGACAGTGCCACCCACCGTGAAAAGTAATATCGTCCATCGATTATTAATCCAGATTAAATGAACGAATTAAAAAAATTACGCAGTTTTGTTTTCAAACTGATATCTGAGCACAGAAATAAGCAAATGAGCCAGTTATGTAAATTTTAGTTTTTCAGTTTGAAAACTGATTTAAAGCTGTTTAATGTCTTTGGTATTTTTTTTTGGCAGTAGTAAGATCCTTTTGCTGAAACATAAGAAAACCAAAACACTTCTTTTATTTTATGATTATAACCATTCATTCTGTTGCATATAGCTTGCCTAGATGCCGCCGATATTGTGTTCGTATTGGACGCCTCAGGTAGCGTACAGGCCCCTAACTTCGAGAAACAACTGGACTACGTAAGGGATGTCGTCAACGGTTTCAACATTGGACCAAACGCCGGTGTGTAATTTTAAGCATTTTTTTTATTAAGTTCATCATTGTAGTAAATAAAATAAATGTTTGGCCACTAAACACAGCTCACCATTTTTTTTTTTTTTTTTTTTTTTGTAAATTACGTGGGACGTAGCCATTTACAATCTGTTTTAATTTCAGTTCAAGTCGGTGTGATGACGTTCGACTCCACCACGCACGAGCAATTTAGCTTGAAAAAGTTCTCCTCCAAGGCTGCTCTTCTGAACGCCATCTCGGCCATCAAGTACACTAAAGGAACCACCAATACTGGCGCTGCATTGAAATACATGAGGGAGACGATGTTTACAGCTGCGAAGGGTAATGAACTAACACACGTGTCTGGGACCTCTTTCACATTAGGACTGTAATCTGAAAAATGCTCTTAATTTCCAGACAAAAAATTAAGTCTGCTTTGCCCTAAAACGTTTGAGTAGTAGTCTAGCTTAATAAAATATTGGGCATGTTTTATAACAAGGATATATGACTTACATGTATGTTTCCGACCAGTAGATATTATATTTTATTATGTTTTTCGTTTGAAATGAAGTAGATTATATTTTCGTTCCCAAAGTTTAGACCACATTTCGGGCTTAAGGCATTTATGGTACGAAGCAGAAGACCCACGCTAATACAAAGTATTGGAAAAAGATAATACAGGAGAACGTTATGCCTACCCCTCTTCTCCATTCCTCTAGTGTTATGGTAAAGGCACTTTGGAAGAAGAAAAAGAATCTATTTTCTGATTTGCAAAACTTGAAGGACCCAGCATATTGCTTGGGTGCAAATACATGTCTTTTTTCCCCTTTTTCCGCCACTTTCTTTTAGAGGGAAGGTGGGTCCGGACAACATCCATGCATTTGCACGGCTATGTGTCTCTAAAGGAACAATTTTAAAGATACAACAAGACGTGTTACATGTATTTTTCTCAACAGGTGACCGTCCTAACGTCCCCAACATTGGTATCGTGATGACCGACGGCAGATCGAACAACGCCGCCAGTACGCTTGCTGAGGCTGCGGAAATCCACAAGGCCAAGACTGCCACCATGTTTGCCGTTGGTATCGGCAGTGGTGCTAAACAGTCCGAACTCGAGGCTATTGCATCGGATCCCGACAGCACCCACGTTTTCTCTGTGGAGAATTTCAACGCCCTGGGGTCTATGAAGGGGCTGATGACCCAGGCGGCCTGTAACGGTACGTACCAGTGCATCTTTTGATCTTGTCCGCTCTTCTTTTAGCTAGCTGGAGTAAAACTGGCCCCAGTTTCACAAAAAAAACTAATGTCAGTTCCCTGGCTTAGCTAAGATTTCCATGAGAGTGCTGTTACACTGCTTCTGATAGAGTAAGATGTGCCCATGTGACAATGTAACCTTGGTAATTAAGTACTTAGCAAGAAACCTGACTGAAGTTTTTTTTTTTTTTTTTTTTTTTTTTTTTTTGTGAAACTGGGGCCTGTTTATGTATCATATAAGACATGTATACAGTTTGGATCCTCTGTGTTAACACCTTTGGCAAATGGTAATTGGTGCATGCATATATTTATATTATAAAAGTCTAATCACTTAATCTTTTCTCCCTTTATCCTGCACCGATCTGAGGTTTTCTCTAATGGCCATTATTAAATTATTTAGAGAAAAAGTATATGCAAATGAATATTCAAACGGCCATTTCTCTACCTTTTTATAACAGAGTCTCATGCATATTGTTTCGGCAAATTTAAAATTAATTTTTAGTGAGTATCTTTATATGATTATTGAAATCCTTACATTTTCAGCTGCGCCAAAGCCGACCGTACCTGTTAGCACCGCAAATCGTAAGTGGAAGGCCTGTGCCTGTTTCCCATTTAGTGTCATTAATATATTTTTTATTTTAATAAAGGTTTTAAGGAAATATTTTGCAATTTCCGTGGAAATCAATTTTTGCTATTTATTTTATGCCTTTAAACACAGCATGGTTTCACAACATGATTTTGCCTGATTTATAGAGTGCAAGGCCAAGGCCGACATCATCTTTGTCATCGACTCCTCGGGAAGTGTTGGAACTGCCAACTTCCGCACCACTCTGGACTTCGTCAAGGACGTCGTGAACGGCTTCGACGTCAGTCCCACGACTGTGAGAATAGGCGCTCTCCAGTTCAACAGCAAGCCTTACCTCGAGTTCCACTTGAACCAGTATTCCAATAAACCCGACGTTCTTAACGCCGTTGACAAGATACCGTACAAACGCGGCAGTACCTATATCTCTGAAGCCATAAAATATGCCAGTGAGAGTATGTTTACTACCGGTACTGGTGACAGGCCCACGGTGCCAAATATGCTCTTTGTGATAACAGACGGAACATCCACCAATGGAGCCCAGTTTAGCAAGGCGGAGGCTGATAAAGCTCGGGCGAGAGGGATTGAGGTAGGTGGCGCGGCCTGTTAGGACACGATCGTTCACAAACTTGCACCTGAATCATACGTGTAGGTTAAGTGACGCCACCTTGCAGTCTACTACTGTTTATTTAATGCGAACCCCAACCGCATGTGCAATTTTCAATCCCATAAAATGCTCTTGCTTGCAGTCTGATGGAATTGCTTTCGATCCCGAGATACCTATATTTCATACCTATATTTATTAAGCAAAGGTCTTAAAGTTTTTGAAAACTGAAAATGGGGTATTGACAGTGGAAGTACCGCAACTGTGTCACAGCGGACTCTTAGTATGAGTTTCAATATAAAGGGAACGTCGCCTTTCGCTAATATTGAAACGGGAATGAAAAGGATCACTCTCTCTCAGGTGTTTGCGATTGGTATTGGAAAGGGCATCAACCAAGCAGAACTTAACAACATCGGTAACGACCCGGATGCAGGTCACGTGTTTAAGGTGGACAGCTTCAGTGCCCTGGGTAATATCAAGGCACAATTGCAGGCCCAAAGCTGTCCGAAACCGGGAGTCACTGGTAAGGCGGACATTATACAACTTAGCTAAAAATTTAAGCTATTTTATCTGGGCCAGTGGTGCTTGGGATTACTTATTTCCAAATTATAATACATTTATATTTATTTGGAAAACCATATGTTTGTTTGCCAACGTTAAAATGCCAAACGGACAAAATACAAAGAAATATTATTTCTCTAGCACATAAATTTAAGCCATCAAATAACTCAAAAACTTGTAAATTAATTGTGAAGGTTTAACACGAGACACATAAATATACTCTCCTTACATTAAAAACTAATACATCCTGGAAATATATTCACTGCTTCGTTCAAATGTAGTATTTCAAATGTAGTATTTCTGAAGTTTTGAGGTTTGGAATTTTGTTGTTCAGGTATTTGATATTAACATTTCAGTGAAACCACCGGTAGAGACATGCGTTGACAAAGCAGATTGCTCCAGATACGCAAAGGACGTTTGCAACCAATACCCCGAGTGGAGCTCAGATAACTGTAAACTCTTCTGTGGATTGTGCACAAGTAGGTTTTGAGTAAATGGATAATATTGCTGCCTTTTACAGAATAGCGAACCATACACCTTTTTAGCTCCAAGTTTCTAGATATTTAGTCTTCCTCGAAATGAAGATATGTCCTGATGAATTTAAGTGATGTCGATAAAATTAAACATTTAGAAATTGTAGAAATTGGAAACGCGTTGAAAGATATATTATGTAAGATATTGCTGACAGATACTTAATTCGATACCATGAATAAAAAATGTACTTTCGTTAGCTGTGATACCACCTACTTACCAAAAGTGTGAAGACAAATTGCCAAACTGTGCTGCCTACACCAAGAGTGACTGCAAGACATACCCGTCCTGGGCCACCACCAACTGTGCCCTGTTCTGCGGGTATTGCTGTGAGTACTGTTCAAACTTTGATTGCTGATATTGTAAAGACCGAATTTTCAATATCAGCAACCAAAGACATGTTAAGTGATACTGAAAACATGTTAATGATACCTAGATGAAATTAAGTTTGTGCACGTAAGTTCAAAAAGATCTAACAAATATTTTATTATATTAACTTCTGTCCTTTGATGCGTTGTACCCTGTTTATGAATATGAAAATTAAAAATCTGACATACTTGAAGAACACATCGTTGGTATTAGCTTCTTATGCTGAGCGTTAACGGCTTGGTTGAAACACAAAAGGCGTTCATCCCACTCTCTAAGTTATTTTTACCGTTTTAGCTGGACAAGTAACTGGTGGTTATTGTGAGTATCCAATTGTTTACCTTAGTCAATCGTTGAAAGTAGTAATTTTGACAAAGCAAAGGCCTAATTTTGTCAATTATTTTTGCATAAACCTACTCTGTACCAAACATAACTTACAAGTTGTAGATCTTGAAAATCGGTTTGTGTTTAGATTTGTTTACATAAATTATAATTTTAATTTGAAACTAAAATTCAAAACTTGAATGTATCAATCAATTTTCACAGATGGCAAGTGTTCGTATAAAAGCAACACGTACACCCAGGGACAAACCTGGCAAGATGGCTGTGACTACGAGTGCACGTGCGTTGATGCCAGCAGGGGAGCCTACCAGTGTAGCGATTTGTGAGTAGGCCCTATACTGTAAAAAACAATGAAAAAAGGCCATTTACCTAATCTCCCGGGACGCTTCTGTTTCAATTTGCTACCGCTTTTGTCTAATTAGCACATGCAAGTGAATCCAGGAACGACCAAAGTTATTCTTTAAAATGCTAAAAAATATATATGCCAATGATACATGACCTTCAGGCCATTCGTTAGAGTCAGTCTATTTAGAAACGAATTACAGTTTTACCGCCTTTACACAAGAGACAATGTAACATCTATGTCACCCTATCACGTTTTGTACACATCTCTTTCAGGTGCCCCTATTATTACAATCTCCCATCAGCGTGTCGCCTCGTGAAGACAGCAGGAGAATGTTGCGCCAAACCCGTGTGTGACTGGGGCACCACCTTCGGCACCATCACCGGCACCAATGTGGGCACCCTGAACGGACAAAGTAAGCCTTCGGGTTAAGAGCAAAGACGGAAATAATAGACCATTGTTATAAACCGGGTTATTTATCAATCAGTTGATTGATTTGTATTTTTTAAATTATTTAATTGTCAGTCGTTTATTTAACCTGTAATTCATGGATCTATTTATTACTTTTCAACATACTACTGTTAAATCAATCAATTTGTTAAATATTCTATTGTCAAAAGAGAAAAAATTACCACCCATCATTCACGGTTTACCATCGTTCTTTGCACCATCTTAGATGTATGCGTGTACAAGGGATCGAAGTACTACCAAGGCCAGTCTTGGCAGGATGGCTGTGATTACAACTGTATCTGTGTAGACGGGAGGACGGGTTATTACTCGTGCCAGAACCAGTATGTGGGACTATCTAATCATTTCAGCATTACACAAGTTAATGTCGCAAAATAAATCAGTAGTAAACGGCCTTATTGGTTGGGGCACATACGGACTTTGATTTAAGTCTTTACTTTTTTATAATTTCAATTTCACTTTTTGATTATTATTATTATTGTGTTCCTTTATTTTTGTCATTAAAACTGTTTGGTCAATTTTACCATGTACCATGTATCAAAGAAAAAATGTATACCACGCCCCATGTGAAACGTGCACGTAATTCTTTTGAGAAAAATAATGGTATATCTCTTCGTCACAGGTGTCCGTCATACTCCAACCTTCCCTCGGTCTGCAAGATGATCTCCAAGCCCGGGAAATGTTGCGAGGAGCCTTATTGTGAGTGGCCAACCAACTACGGCTCCTTCACTGGAACAGGAATGATTTCTGGAACCGGAACCAGTGAGTAACTCATCTCATATTGGTTGACATTCATTTAGGTACTGCGTCCCCTCTGTGCATCTTTGCATATTTATGAAAAGTTGTCTGTCTTTTTATAAGACAATGTAGACTGTCCGACATGTAAAACCCATTCAAAGATGATCACTGTATACTCCATGTTTATTAATTTTTTTCTAAACCAAATGATTTATTAAATCAGTCTTATTCACGTATAGTGTAGAACAGTTTCATTAGCTATGTTATTGTAATAGACTTGTGAAGATTTGGGGGGGGGGGGGTGGGGGATCTGACCAAATAGCACACCAGAGGGGGTGACAGGTTGTCATACCTGTCACAACCTCATTCCCTGATGAGGTCTGACTGCAAGCAGATGAAATATTGGATGGTAAGATCAGACAAATATAAGTAGCTATAGACAAAAGATTCTTCACAAGTCTTATTCACATATGTAAATATATTTTTGTCGCATTTTCTGTTGACTGTTTACGTGACGTTACAGATGCGAAACCTACCGCCCCGCCCGTGTGCAGAGACAAGCGCCCCAACTGCCCCGATTACAGTCCCAGCATATGTACGGAACCAGTTTACAAAGGATGGGTGCTGGACAACTGCAAGAAATGGTGCAATCTGTGCAGTAAGTAGGCAGAGTCTGCTATTGACAACGGCGGATCCAGGGTTTTGCTTTGGTGGGGTGGGGGGTGGGCACCTCGTCAGGGAAGACGAACGTTCTTTGAGTAGCAATCGTAGAGTATCTTAAGTTGTTGAATAAAAAGAAAAATGTTTGTGTGGTGCATGGTACGATTTACAACGAAGTTTTTGAAGATGTGTTCTTTTTATCGATGTTAGAAGAGTTTAGTTGAATAATGGCCACTCTTTTCTTCAGATGCCCCTGCTGTGCCTGGTCCAAACGGTAAGTCATTTTAACTGTAGGATGTTGCATTTGGTTAACCATTTAGAAGTTGATGAGAGCTACACACACGTGTAGTAGGTCTTGAAGATCATTTGTTCATCTGAGCGTTATCATTATCGTTGTTAAAGAGAAACTTATCATCACATCTTTAAGAGTTGATTTTCTGTTAAGTTGCGCATGCTATAAATACATTTGACTATAAAGGATCGTTATACAAAAAAAAAGACAAATTTTTAGAAATTAATCCAACTTTTTGTATTGTTTTTTGCAGATGTCTGTTTGTATAAAGGAAGTACATACACCCAAGGTCAGACGTGGCAGGACGGATGTGACGTAGAGTGCACGTGCGAAGACGCCATATATGGATACTACAGATGTAACAACAAGTACGTTCATAACACCCGTGTTTCTATCGGCCTGCAGGGAGTCAAACCAGTGAATCCTTATAGGAAATGGCTCCTCTAGGTCGATATAACCTGTTTCCTGTAAGATAACTACTGTAATACGGCGGTAATAGACTTAAAGTCATAATAACTCTTCGTTTTGGCCAAAAATTGGATTTTCCTGGAAAAAACGGCAATTTTCCCGTACTTACCAATGGTCAACGACCCCATTCCTGCATTCAAAGTTAATCTAGGGTTTTTTTTCCTAAACGTACGGTTTTTTGTTAAAATCTCTCAAGAGAGATTTTAACTGACGGAGCTCTCTCTGACATTGCAAAGTCACTGGTGACCTACTTAAAACCGCGGGAAAAGCAGACAACAACAACACTATATAAGATTCATGAGATATATTCGTCTTTTTGTTAAAAATGCATTTATATCCACAATGTGTGCCATTCTGGGCTTTACGTTATCCGACGCACTGTACAAAAACTCGCAACTTACGTCTGCGTCCGCATTAATGTGTTTGGCGCCATGTTATTTTGGTCTCGAATGAACGCGAGAATCCGCGTGACACCATTACGTCATTAGCAACGAATGCCTTGATGACTGGGAAAAATGGCATCGAAAGCCCCATTGACAAGCACAGATTTTAGTTTTACTCCAATAACGGCCGTTTTAGTGGTAAAATACGATAGAATATATTTCCATGCGTTGTTTAAAATGTATTTCATGCGGAATTTTGAATCTCAAAGGAAGAGTTATTATTGCTTTAAAATACAGCAAATATATAACTCACATAATGACGTTCGTTGTAGGCCTATCTCCAGGGCGGTATCCTCTTTGCTCACGTTTATCTACTGAATTATTACATTTGTGAAAATCACAAATATATAACAGGATACGAAAATAACCGAATTCGAGATGACTTCTCCTGTTGAAAACCCCCAGGTGCCCTCAGTACTCTTCCCTGCCAGCTGCCTGCAAACTGGTGACTGTAGCTGGACAGTGTTGCCAGCAAGTGCAGTGCTCATCCGGGTCTTTCGTTGGGACTGGCGGCACAGGAACTGCTACCGGAGTGGTCACGCTGCCATCACCAAGCCCGTCAACAGGGGGCCCTGGAGGACCCGGAACCGGAACTGGAACAGGTCCCCAACTACGTAAGATTGATTTATATTTGACCGCGTGTGTAATCTAAAAGTCACGGCTTGCTATACGTAACTAGCACTATATGTACACTTTGGAGAAGGTTCCCATGTTATAAAATATACTCTTTCGCCCAGGTGGCTGTCTGTACAAGGGACAATTATACGTCAAAGGGCAGAGATGGATGGATGGATGTGATTACAACTGCGTGTGTGAAGATGACGTCACCGGAAGCTATCGGTGTGACCAGAGGTACAAAGTGCTTTTTTTTCTCATTTCAACTTTTCTGCAGGGACACACTCATTAAAATTGGCATTAAAAAATTAATGGATTATATATGTATGAAATAAAACTTTGGGGTTGTTTCGGACTACCCATGTACCCCAGTACGGACGTTAGTCGCTAAAAGGTTAATAAACTCATCAAATGGCGCCCTAATCTCTTACTCAACCGAACTCTCTGAACCCTAGATACGCCATTAAGTGGGCTTTTTATGGTTAAAGATTTGATATGAAGTTAAATCGTCCGAGTAAGGCGTCCGAAATTCAAATATTGTAAATGAAACAAAACAAAGCGCAAACAAAAGCGCGTCTTATCTATAGTACATGTAAGTTCTCATCGATAACAACAGGAAAGTGCTTTATGGTAAATATTGGATCTTCCAGGTGCCCTTTCTATCCCAGTGTCCCCTCACAGTGTACCATGGAAGAAGACCCTATCGACACCTGCTGTAAGAAACCAAACTGCCCAACTGGCTCAGGTAAAATTTTACATTGGTTCTTTTCGTGCGCTTCTTCAGACGGACAGGCATATCATAACATGCTATAAGGCTCTGTCACACTCCAGTGTATCCTAATTCTTTGACAGTTGCTCATTGACTTCTCTTTCATAGATACACGATACACTGGGACATTGACATAATTCGAGTTGGGTAGGTACATGATACGCTGAGTATGCGCACAGTATACCTAGTTTTTTTGCAGCAAAAGTAAAAGTATTTATTTATTTATCTATTGTCAACGTAAATGACGTTAGTGCTTTATGATCATTATCTTCAGGCATCTACCCAATACCGATCTTTGGCAAAGGCTTCAATGGGTTTGGTCCCGTAGGTGGTCAGGGTACCGGAACCGGAAGTGGTACTGGGACAGGCACTGTGGTTATCCCAGGTACTGGCTCTCCGGTCTTACCAACGACGGGCACCGGCACTGGCACCGTGAGAAGTACGTGTTATGACATTTTATCGCTTTTTTCTCATGAATATGATGACTTTTCGACATGAATACTGTTTAAACAACCGCAAGATCGCGATAGCTCAATTACCGTTTTCGGTATCTTATTAGTTTATAAAGTTTATTTTTATTGTGCATTCAATCAATGAAAAAGTAGGCTTCTGTGAGTGTAGCTGATATTTTTCTGAAGTCATATTTTGAATTTGAATATTAGGTTATATCGATAACTGTATTTTAAAACACTCAAGACACCCAATCACAAGGTTTCAAAATTCTGAATAAAATTAGCAAAGAATTTATTAGCTTTTAACAAAGCCTGACGGACAAGGCTTACAAAAATACTTTTGCCCAGAGTTTCAAAGCTTAAATAACTTGTCATCTATAAAGCCACGCGGTAAAAAGAACTTTAAACAATGGTATATTTCTAGACGTGTGTAAATACAAGGGTACGAATTACGCCCAAGGCGCCAAGTGGGCAGATGGCTGTGACTACGACTGTGAGTGCCAGGATGCATCCAGAGGATTCTACAGCTGTAAAGAAACGTTAGTAACACATTGTTTCTACGGGACAATTTTGCAGTGGCGTATTCTGGGACTCGGGATAGGGGGTTGGTGTGGGGTGGGGTGGTGGGCCAGTGTGTGCCCCATACCTTTACTGCACATATAACAGTGAAAGTGTACTCGTCTGCTTCGTAAACACATTATAGATACAAGATATCTTTGTTTGGTACGTGCCTGTTTGGTTATTTGTAAAGAATAAATTGTATGCCAGATATCATTAACCTTTTGCTGAAAGCAAAGCTCAGAGCTTTCAACGCAAATAAGATTTGGTCACCATACCATACAGGTACACAACGTGTCAAATATAGAGTTTTTATCTTTCTCTCACACAGGTGCCCAAGGTACAGCAATCTCCCCAGCGCATGTCGTCAAGTGCCGGACTCCACGTCTCCACGCGGCTGTTGCAGTAAGGTCCAGTGTGACTGGACAACAGGCTCTGGAACCACTATCGTAGGGGGCGGTAATGTGGGGCCAACACTGGCTCCTAAACCAGGTAACACTGGATAGATTTGATTTTAATCAATAAACCTTTTAATTTAAAAATATTGTTTCAAAATGTCCAAATATTTTGTTCTTTAACTGAATGATGAAATTGTTCGTTTTACCTAAAAATATCCACTATACTTGGATTCCATTTTAACTAAAACTACAGCGTGTAAAGACATCAAATCGTGCAGATATGTGGAATGCAATAAATGAATTCTTATTTTACTCCCACAAATAAAGAATTCGTGGTTTTTACACTGTGTACCATTGCTGTTTGGACTAGTTCATAGTCTGCTTCAGAAAAGCAAAGCCATTTAGCAATTTTACAGGAGGCAGAAAGAACCACTACAGTCACACTCTGAAGATAATATTTATTTCATAGCCCTATTAAGAGAAAGAAACTGCTGACGATATTAGAAAATATCACATTTCATATTTCAGGCACCTTTTTGTATAAAAACAAATTATAGCGAGTGGATTACAACGTTCTGTATTGATATAGCAATTTGTATTTCAGGCACATGTTATCGTCTTCAGCTGATATCACATGTTTAATTTCAGGCACGTGTGTGTATAAGAACAGATATTACAACCAGAACGACTGGTGGTACGACGGGTGCACGTTCAGATGCGTATGTGAAGACGCCTCCACGGGATACGTAAGATGTAACTACAGGTGAGAAGCTAGGGCAATATTTTTGTTTATGGCATAACCTGTTTAATCATGTTATTAATAGATATACAGTATAGCTTTCATTTCAATAAGAGGTTCATATATTCCACTTTCGATCTGTATCTTTAACATCGGCGTTTCTGAAAATGTGATTTATAATAAGGTGTGTTGTGCAACGTTAAATACAGTTATCAAATTATTTATATGTGTTAGGATTGGCACGAATATATATCTACTGCAACAATAATGAAAAATAGCAATAAGAGTAGTGATAACAGTAACTATAATCAACATCTGCCTAAATCTGTGTAAAGTAAAATCTTCAACTTAATCTTCAGTTGTTGTGTCGTGGCTGGTATGACTTTTGTCGCAGAAATATTATATAATATCATATAGGTGTCCATCATACAACAACCTTCCTTCCAACTGCCGACTGGTTGATGATCCTAATGGAGACAAATGCTGCAAGGTGCCTGTGTGTACTCCAACTGGAACTGGTGGCACTGGTACAGGCACCATTGGCCCGGGCACTGGCGGTACTGGGACAGGCACGGGTATAACTGTCACCGGCCCCAATGGCCCTATTATCATCCCAACACTTCCCGTCGGGTCATTTACTGGTATAGGAACCATTCCAGGCGGATCAGTCACTGGACAGAGGAGTAAGTGGACTTTCTTGTTATTTCTGTGCTTAAAATGCGTGAGTTTGCTAAGTAGTGTAGTGCCATTGTAGAACATTCAAATGACGTTCGTAATTATATATTTGTCGAAGAAGAAATGTATATATTGTATATGAAACATGGGAATGATTTTAATCATTAAAATGTTATGTCGTGTAATACGTGGTTATTGCCTTACAGACGCTTGTGTCTACAAAGGACAAACCTACTACCAGTACCAGGTTTGGCAGGATGGCTGCGACTACAACTGTGAATGCACTGACGCAACAAGGGGCATGTACCAATGCACAGAAAGGTCAGGATTTAAGTTACAACCAATACTTTTTTGTCACATCTATGAATTGCCGTCACACATACTGTTTTAGAATGTGATAATTGACATGGAAATGTTGCGTTTTTTATTGGGTGTTTGTTTTAAGAGAAAATTTTCAATGATGTATGCAATGTTTTTTGCACTCGGAGAACTAACATAGATTGTAGAAGTTGAGCCGTATAAATGCTTATCTCATAACTATAACATCAGATACATTAACCTCTGTTTATAGAATGACATTTTACTTTTAGGTGAGGGGGGAAACAAGGATAGTCGTGCCCCATGTTGCTCGGTATCTTTTTGTAAACGGTTGGCGGGGAGAATTTTTACTATAATCTGTAGAGCACAGAGATGAAATATATTGCTTTGATTTGCCCAATTTTCTCATTCAGCTTTTTCTGGTGGCGGGGTACTTCCGAAGCTGACAGGAGGGGTTCGAATGTTCGTTGTGTACCCCCTGGATCAACCATTGTGTACATCACTTGCACTAAGCACTGTGCATTTACATTGCAGATGTCCACGCTATGCCAGCCTTCCAGCTAACTGCCAACTGGTGCAAGATCCTCAGAATTCCTGCTGTAAAGTTCCTCAGTGTGGAGCAGTTGTTGCACCTACCACCCCAAGGGTACCCACCACCCCCCGGGCACCCACCACAAAGGCACCCAATCCTCCAACTATCAAACCTACGTTTGCCACACAGAAACCAGTAACCGGCAGTCAAAGTAAAACATTGTTTTGTGAATATTAATAAAGCCTTAGCTGTTCCATAGTATTTATGTTTATAATGACTTTCGCCAACGATTTAGGTTAATGCGTTGCTTTGCAGACAAGATAACAATATTTTTCTTCACAAGTGAAAGAAGAGGTGATAACAGTTTTAACTGAATCTGGATGTACTTAGATTTCATTTAATTTTCACATACATTTTTGCCTTGGCGGAAGTCTGTACTCTTGTTCAACTTTTGCTTGTATTGTATCTTATAGACCATATACGGGGGGGAGGGGGGCACGTAATGGGAATTAAATAATTTGATTATTCTTCAGTACTAATGAATTATCTCTTACAATATAAAAGCATAATTCGGTTGCAGCTGGCTGTGTCTACAAGAACAAGATCTACGCTCAAGGTGCAAGGTGGGACGATGGTTGTGATTACCGGTGCGTGTGTGAAGACGGTACTATTGGCAGATACAGGTGTACCCAGAGGTGTGTTATTTTTGTTATCAAGTCACACGATGTAGTCAACTGGCGACATGGGCCTGGTCTAGCTATGTACAGCTTTATAAGGTCCAAATGAGGGAAATGATTACTTTAATAAATGTTAGCCTGTTGGATGCCATTTCATAGCGATACAAAATGACTTTATTCTATCTCCCGACCGATAAAGAATATGACTGTTGTAATAAAAGAACGCGTAAATCTGATGCCTCTCTAATCGGTACAGAAAGAGCTAATTATGTAAGCACAGTGATATATTTGCCTTCCAAATGAGTTTACTGTCTATGAAAAATTTATGCGTGTACAGGTGCCCGACGTTCGCCAGCTTAGACCCACGCTGCACCATGATTCAGGATCCAAATGATGCCTGTTGTAAAGTGCCTAAATGCGACTTTGGCACAAATACTGGTGGCACTGGAACTGGAACCAATCCTGGAGGCACTGGAACTGGAACCAATCCCGGAGGCACCGGAACTGGAACTGGAACCAATCCTGGAGGAACTGGAACTGGAACCAATCCTGGAGGCACCGGAACTGGAACTAATCCTGGTGGCACTGGAACTGGAACCAATCCTGGCGGCACCGGAACTGGCACCGGAACTGGCACCAATCCTGGAGGCACCGGAACTGGAACCAACCCTGGTGGGACAGCAACAGGAACCATTGGAACTGGAATTGTTGGAACTGGTGGAGGTTAGTATCTGTTATATAGTGCAATCTTTTCTATACTTGAAGTTTCGGTAAATTATGCATGCATAACCGGCGACATGTGCCTTTTAACTATAGGAACGGTAGTAATTACAGCATACGTGTTTCACTGGACACGATGCAGCTTGGAAAAAATAGAGTGCTATCACATATGGTTAAAGTTTATTAATTTAAATTATAACATCAACATCGTTTTAGGTGGGTGCTTGTACAAGACACAAGTGTATGCTCAGGGACAGACATGGCAAGATGGCTGCGACTACAACTGTGTCTGCGAAGACGGAAACATCGGCCGTTATAGATGTACACAAAGGTGAATTAATACATACTAATGACAAAATTAGCATGCTCGTTACGGTTTGGACTACTGATCAACCAATTTTTTCTACAGTAGTTATCTAACACGTGCTAACTCTTTTTTTATTTTACCTGCAGATGCCCTGTCTATGCAAACCTCGACCCACGCTGTAAATTGATCACAGATCCCAATGATAGCTGTTGTAAGAAACCACAGTGTGACTTCAGCACTGGTGGTACTGGCACAAATACTGGTGGTACTGGAACTGGTACTGGAACCAGCACTGGTGGTACTGGTACTGGAACCAACACTGGCGGCACTGGTACTGGAACCAGCACTGGTGGTACTGGTACTGGAACCAACACTGGCGGCACTGGTACTGGAACCAACACTGGCGGCACTGGTACTGGAACCAACACTGGCGGTACTGGTACTGGCACGGGGACCGGCACTGGTAGTGTCGTTATAGGAAACGGAGGTGAATAATGAAAAGAGTATTCACTATTGTGTAAAAGGCTCATACGTACTGTACACTCTGCGTGCACTATTCCCCACATTGTTTATCGTGGTGTTAAGTAATCTATCTGAGACGCCCATGATGCAGTGGTTGCATTTTATTGCCAAGGTTTATTATTGTTTAAAGTTTGTATATGTTTAAAGTTTGTCAAAATTTGAAACACCGGTACGGGCCAACAGTGTTATCAAGGTGACTATAGGCAATTAAGTCGGTTTATCGGTAAATTAGTGCAGTATGTGAGTAACTATAGTGAAACTGAAACCATTAGAACTGGAATTGTTGGTAAAAGCGAGATTGGTATTCATCATATAATTGTAGTTAAGTTCTTCTACGGAGTATGAAACTGCTATCACGCCAAGAGAGAAAAATAAAAAATGCGAGAATGTACATTAAAATAACGAAAAATTATCCTTTTTAGGTGGATGCCTATACAAATCAAGCGTGTACGCTCAAGGTCAAACATGGGATGATGGATGCGATTACAAGTGTGTCTGTGAAGACGGCGTGGCTGGTAGATACAAGTGTACGCAGAGGTGGGTACTTACAAGGCAGTGGTGTAAAGGGTATGAGCAGGTAGGACACGTGCCCAGGGCGCCCTTGGCCGATTGTAAAATATGGAAATTAATCTTATATTTTGGCGAAGAATCTTAAAAAATTGGGAAAGTTATCTAAAGATTTATAGGGTGCAGCATTCGGTGTTCTGTGCTTTTTTCGTACATAACGCCAATAATTCATCGTAAATTGATATTTGAAATGAATAAAAATAAAAAAACTGCCTTATTATCTCTATACTGTTACCACATACTCCGGTAAGAACCATATCAATTTTTTATCAAGCTGGGAAGTATCAAAACCTATCATTACCCACAAATAAAAGTGAAATTGTTTGTCCCGCCCCTCAGGTGCGCAAGTTACGCTAACCTGGACCCACGCTGTAAATTGGTCACGGACCCTGCTGATAGCTGCTGTAAGAAACCTCAGTGTGACTTCAGCACGGGTGGCACTGGCACAAATACGGGCGGTACTGGCACCGGAACCAACACTGGTGGCACCGGAACCAACACTGGCACTGGAACTGGGACAGGAAGCACTGGAACAATTACCGGCACAACAGGTAATACTTTCTTCACAACGCAATATTTATACTAATATGAAAAACCAAGAACATCTAATTCTCATTTAAATAAGTCACGCATGCACCAATAAATGCAAAATTTTAAGTGACGAAATTTTGATTGGAGATCCGCTAAAAATGCCAATCTTCTGTATGGGTCCATCCCTTTAAATGGATATAAAAGGGCAACAGGGGTGGTTCTTTAACGTGTTACGTGTAAACACTGGTATTTTTCCAGTGAAACTGTGACTAATAGTGACTAATATATTATAACCGCATGCATATATAGGTTATTATTATTATTTAAAATGTATGATTATTATTATTATTATTTTTATTTTTCCAGGTGGCTGTATATACAAAGGAGTAACTTACCAACAAGGTCAGCAGTGGGACGACGGCTGCACGTACAAGTGCACGTGCGTGAACGGAGTTAACGGCCTCTATCAATGCAATGAAAGGTATGACGCTGATGCATTGGTTGCGGAGGCTATAGTTGGTTTATGAGTTCAGAAAAAACATATAAAGTGTGAGGTGTCTGTTTTGTTTGTTCTCTGCTAAGTACGTATAGTAAGAAATTTGAAACGCGTTACCTGCATGCTTTCATTCTTTAGCAAGTTGTCTGGAGGGGGGATGAACTCTTACTTACATGTACACCGTAATGACAATTCTGCATTATAATATGTATGTCGTTTCAGATGTGTAACATACTCTAACGTCCCAGCGTCCTGCAAATTGGTCCCCGATCCTGCTGACGCTTGCTGCAAGAAGCCAGACTGCTCAGGGGCAGGCACTGGAACTGGCACAGGAACTGGTACCGGAAGCGGGACTGTCGTAATTCCTGGAAATGGTAACGGAAGCGGAACAGGAACAGGAACTGGAACTGGAACCGGGACTGGCACCGGAAGTGGCACTGTTGTTATTCCAGGGATTGGAAATGGAGGGGCAATAAGCGGGTCCGGTAGGTTGAGATAAAAAATTCACAACTGTAATTTTTTTTTTATTATTCTTTGTCAAACGGGTTCAATTTTTTTCTCGCTAAATGTATTATACGGTATATTTACAGATGCCAGGAGCAGAATGTTAAAATGCATGGTCAATTTCTTAACACTTCGTCCCAAAAATGCAAATGGAATGTATGTGTTTCAGTTGTTTCAGCTTACTTTTTTATACAAAAATTCAACATCCAAAATAATTTGCTAGTTTAATTTTGGTGAGAGTCTGACCTACAGGTAGAACTACATCTTTAATGTATTATTTCAGCAAACGTATGCATATACACTGACGGGAAAACCTACACCCAAGGGCAACAGTGGAGAGATGGTTGTAAATACAGCTGCACCTGCACAGATGGTGTCTCTGGACGCTACACCTGTAACGCTTTGTATGTATTGAAACCCAAATTAACATTATTTCATTATTTTATGACTTTACCTATCAACCGTTCGATATTTAAAATACGTGTCTCACAAAAAGAATTTAAAGACGTATGGCTAAAATGCCTATTGTTTTTCGTCTCAAATGACCTTGTGTATCACAAATCCAATAGCGGGCCCTAGGTGAGGGTCTTGGGCCACGTGCCCCCCCCCCCCCCGCCCCACCGTCCTTAGCCTTAGAGGTACGTGCAAAGTTAGACAAAACCAAGCAATTTACCATCTTTGTACCCTACATATAACAGTAATCTTGTCTTCGTATGCCAGATAATGAGAAAATCCCCACCCCACCCCACCCTTTAGCAAAATTCCATATACTCCAGTGCAAACTATCATAGATGCTTGACTTCATCGCCTCCGCCAACGTAACCCTTCCGTCCGTCCATAATCCCTTCCGACAAATGTTCCCTCTGCCCCCCCCCCCTCCTCCCTTCCCTTCCTCAAAGAATGAAATGATACAGTTCATAATCTGGTTTTGTTTTCGTCCTATAGATGTCCGACCTGGCAGTTGCCGGCCGCCTGCCGTCTCGATCCCGCTCCTGTCGGAAAGTGCTGCCAGAGACCCAACTGCCCAGCGGGTTACACACTGACGTATCCGGCGGGTCTCACAGAGGCCACTCTTCCTTAGGAAGGAGCACTACACACATGGATTCTTCATAGTGAATCTAGCATTCTAAAAAAATCAGTGTTTAGACACAGATGACTTATAAGTTTTGAAATAGATATTATATCTGGAGTATTTGTTATGGAAAATAGAAGCTTGCCGCACATTCGGTTCATGATTGGAAAACAACTTATATATCTTAGTGCTAGCCTATATGACTGTGTAATGATTCATTACCAGAACTGCATTTGCAGCTTGACTGGCCTTTTGATTCTAGATGAAAGTATTAGACGGGTCATTTGTTGTTTCTTTTTCAATAAAATATGTAGTGCATTCTTGCATGTTTTACTTACATCATTCAGTTACAAGAGTTGTGCATTTTGATTTAAAAAATTATTGATGGAATTGGGCCTTGACACTAACCTTTGAAAAGTGGTAATGCGAACATGAATTCCTAGGATAATAATCAGGTTTGTGGAGTTAAACATTCGAGTCACGAAGACCACACACGATTAAATCTTTGGATTAAATCCTTTTACTTTTATCGTGGCCATAAAACGATAGAACTATTTACAGTCAGAGGAAATAGATTCAGACTCATGACAAACTCATTCTGTGTTTGTTTATTATATCAATATAAGCGTCATACAAAAAAAAATCGGCGCCAAATATTCTGAATAGCTTCTTCGCAATTAAAAAAACATTACAGGCATATATCTTTAGAAGATACCTGTATACACACAAAAAAAAACGTAATTCAAAAATTCTTTTGAAAACAGAAACCCGATGTGAATTCTTCATCAGAATAAACGTTTGTCCCACGCTATAAAACTATGTTCATCTTTTCGACGTCTCTCAAAAACATTGACACTTTCACATAGCACTTTGCATCGTACATGATGACGACGTTATCCAAAGTCAAAAAGCAACGGACTGTGATTCCTAGCAGACCACTATACCTGTTACACAGCCTCTGTCTGTCGCTTTTTAGGAGTAAAGCAAGAGACCTAAATATGGGGGACCTACATGAAAGGGAGACCGCGTAATCCTTTAATGGTCTCTCAGTGACATTCATTGTTGCATCTCTGGATGAACGCATGCTTGGTCTCAGTACGTGTCAGGCGTTTTCCCTATGTCTATCAACATGTGCGTGAACAGGGGCTTTAATCTTATCCCAAGCACTGAGTAGTTAACGTTACTCAGACCGTCCCAGGGTTGTCGCTGCATGCCTTTATCAAGGATTTCAAATCTAGAATAAACATATGATAATTCGTGAAGTTCAGTATGACTTTTACATCTGCGCAACTTAAGTTAATTGTATGGGGAATTTCAGATGTATGCCCAAAACCTATGATACGAATTGCAAATAGAAAGGCACCAAAAAAATCCAGGCCATTAATTTATAAAAAAATATATAAACAAATTATAAACAAAGAACATGTATTTTAATGGTTGTTAAAAATGTAGCCATTTTAGTGTGTATTTGTAAGTCAGTATTATGTACCTAAACAATTGTAAGACGCACGGAGATTTAATGGAAAGCATCTTGTCAGAATGTATTATTATCATTACATGAGTTACCATTGTTTGTTTAAATTTTTTTTAAACGTTCACTAAGCCCACTGATAATTGTTAAAATCGGAAATGTTGTACAGTGGCAGTCACACCTCTTTATTTCTCATGACAAATCTTAAGTTGAGCCCCAATTTCTAAGTATTAATATACCATGTCCACACTTACCTTCTCGTGTTTTTCCTGCGATGTTTATGCACTAACATAGTATAACGGCCAGTGTTGAGAGATGGGCGGGAAAGCGTTAAACCGGCCTTTTTTATTCTGAAATTGAAAGAAATATGTGAGTCAAAAAAGCTCGTATAGAAACACGAATAATTTTCACGAATGCGAGAGAGAGAGCGAGGGAGCAGGAAAGATAGAGAGAGAGTTTCTCTAATTCCTATATGTAAAAATAAAGGTTTAAAGTTTGTGGGGGGGGGGGGG